TGGGGTTTGTGACAAAGCAACTCTTTAGCACATAACATATCTTTATAACTCACCCTGCACGGCAGTTATTTCTTACAACAGCTTTTTTCCCCCTATAATGATGAGCTGGGCTTTGTTAGAGTTATTGGGTGGCCTGCACTTTTCCAAAAAGACGAAGCTGTTTCAAGGAGAAGACTTAGCCTCTTTCCTAAGCCTCTTTCAGAAAAGTAAAAAATTCTTCCCAAAGCAGACTCCTTAGGTTTAAACGTCCACTCAAATATTTCTATGAAAGATTTTTATCAAAATTTTAAACTGTAAGTAGCACACAGTACAAATTCCAGAAAATAAGTTCAGCAATTTGAGTTGATGAGCCGCTTTGCCCTCCAATTCAAGATGGCATTTTGTCCCTCTATAGCAAATAAATAAATAAATAGTGTAATCCCAATGGGATACAGTCTGCTGTTAGATTCATGGCACAACTGCTTCTGAAATTAGCAACAGTGGGCAAAATTTGGCCCCAAATCAGACTAGCCTACAAATATCGACAGGTTTCAGAGTAGCAGCCGTGTTAGTCTGTATCCACAAAAAGAACAGGAGTACTAGTGGCACCTTAAGACTAACAAATTTATTTGAGCATAAGCTTTCATGGGCTACAGCCCACTTCATCAGATGCACGGAATGGAACATATAGTTTGACACCTATTAGAGTACAGAATAATCTTCCAAGGGAAGCAGTGGAAGCACCATCTCTTGAGATGTTTTGAATTAGATTGGACCAAACCTCATGAAATACCTGGCAGGGAAGAACTCTGCACCATCTAGATACAGAATTGTTTTTTACTTAGGCTATGTGTATGCTGCAAATGGAGGTGGGGCTGCAGCTCACACAGGCACACTCTCATGCTAGTGTTAATTTAGCTAACATAGCTAAAAACAGCGGTGAAGATATGGCAGCACAGGCTCTGCAAGTCCCATCAGAACCCTGGGTACATACTCATGTTGCCAGCCCATGCCAGGATCCATGCAGGCAGGTCTTCACTAATATTGTTACCCCACCAGGTAAATTAAAGCTAGTGATGCCAATGCGAACTGCAATCACTCCTCCAACTGAAACGTGGAGCTACTTTTACATTGTAAACTCTTTTTTGTTTTGTGGTTGTACAGTGCCTAGCACAATGGGTCCCTGATGCAAGACCGGGGCTACTGCAATACAAAATAAAAGTATAATCTTTATTGTACATGCCCTACTTCTATACACTTCTTTAAAGTATGTTTCCCCATAAACTACCCTGAGGGTGTATTTTTCACAACTTCAGTTGTCAACTAGCGTGTCATCTTTTCAATTTGTTAAAGATCTGGGGACAGATCCCAGCCCACAGAACAGACCCTTTTCATTGCTGCAGTTGTCTCTGCTTCCATATTTAAAGACAGAGGGCAAATTTTCACGCCTGGGAGCCTGAAGTTAAACTCTTAAATCCATATTTAGACACCTAAATAGAAATCACCTGATTTTCAAAGAGGAAAAACAGCTCTCATTGACTATGTCGAATTTGTGGGTGCTCAGCACAATTGAAAATAAGATTACTTGTCTAGGTGATTTACATTTCTATTACGGAGCCTAACTTACAGGCACCCAGGTATGAATATTTTGGGCAGAGACAGTACAATATTTAAATAAAAAGACACTACAATACAGTCTAAACCTTGGTTGCACAAGTGTACAAGCAATAAAGAGAGGAGGCAGGCATTGCAACACACAAGAAGAACACGCCCCAGGCCATCTCAGTTTGCAAGAATGTGCCAGCACCTATGCTATATGAAGGGGAGTATGGACCAAGGTCTAACTGAGGCATGGCTTTTTGGACCATTAAATAGGTTTGTGGTTAGAAGTTGAGTAGGTGAGTGAACTTGCTGTAATGAGCATGAGCACTGACTGACAAGGATACTTGAGGGCATGCTGCTCTTGCTCAGAGGAAAGATAACAGCCAAACAGTCCTCCAAAAAACAACCCGGCCTGAGATAGCAAGATGCCCCAAGCTAAGCATGCCGCTGGTTACTAGTCACTACAAACATTGTGAAAGCATCACCACTCAAGACAGGATTTGACTCTCATCTGGCAAGATGTGGCAACCACGTTCCTAATGTAACACTTGGATTCATAAATAGTTGTGCTTGTGATCTGGTATGAGGTGGTCTACTGCCAACACAAAGAATCATAGAACTGGAAGGAACCTCGGGAGGTCATCTAGTCCAATCCCTTGCACTCATGGCAGGATTAAATATTATCTAGACCCTGGGTTCTCAAAGCTGGTCTGCCTCTTGTTCAGGGAAAGCCCCTGGTGGACCAGACCAGTTTGTTTACCTGCCGCGTCCGCAGGTTCGGCCGATCGCGGCTCCCACTGGCCGCGGTTAGCCGCTCCAGGCCAATGGGGGCTGCGGGAAGACGGTCAGCATGTCCCTTGGCCGGCGCCGCTTCCCACAGTCCCCATTGGCCTGGAGCGGCGAACCGTGGCCAGTGGGAGCCACGATCAGCTGAACCTGCAGACGCGGCAGGTAAACAAACCGGTCTGGCCCGACAGTGGCTTTCCCTGAACAAGCAGCAGACCGGCTTTGAGAACCACTGATCGAGACCACCCATGACTGGTGTTCGTGTAATCTGCCTTAAAAATCTCCAATGATGGCGATTCCACAACCTCCGTAGGCAATTTATTCCAGTGCTTAACCACCCTGACAGTTTGAAAGCTTTTCCTAATGTCCAAGCTAAACCACCCTTGCTGAAATTTAAGTCCATTGTAATTATGCTGTTGATACAATGAATAATTCCAGATTTTTATTTTCTTTTTGATTCATTTGTATCCATTTGAAATGCCCTAATAAGACAAGCAAACTGGGACTCTTATGGCTGGAAAATGGTGTGTATATATTTCACCAATCCACTGCAAGTTTCCTCTATTGATCTGTCCATGCCCCACATGCCCCTGTATCTCAGAATGTGTGTGTTCCTTGAGGGTCTGCCAAACAATTAAGATTCTGGGTGTCTTTTACAAAAATGCCAAGGATCTGGACCTGAAATATGGTCCATGTATCCAAAACCTATTAGAGGTTGCTTCAGCAAAGGTAAATGCTTTTTTTTGACAAAACTGCTATACTTTTTGTGTAACCCAAGAACCCCTTCTTTTCCCAAGAGTTCATCAGCGATAAAGAATAAGGACAGTTTGCATTTGTATCCCCAAACTTTAAAAAGAATTGAGGAAAAATAAAATGTTAGACACAAGCTCACTCACGTTCCATATTGGGCTGAACAGTTTTAACACAGTGCTTTTAACCAAGATACATAACTGCATTTTGAAGCTTCACCCTAACTTTGCAAGATTTACTCAATTGCCACACAGAGTTTTAAGACGTAAGATGGCTTCTATGCTCCATAAATAGCTTCCCCAATATAAACTGGAGAAGGGTCCAAATCACTAAGTTAAGAACCATATTCCAAGATAGTTGTCAATAGGGAAGGTGGGACCTTGAGCTGAACTTCACCATAGTTCAGGGTGTTGGGAACCAAAGTTTTATTTAGGCTCAGTGCACAGAGCAGAGTCATTAAATTAATTTTCTCCTACCAATTTCTACCTTCTTACCACACATCACATCTCTGAGAGAAAACCGACTACACAAAGGTACTACTGCTGTTTCTTCTGGCCATTAGGTTTAACTGTATCATGTCTTATTAGGGAGCCAGAGTAAGATTTCCTAAAGCACCAAAAAAACCCCAAACAAACAAAAATCCCTCAAAACAAACCACATGTCCAGTACTGAAGGATTGTAGGTGAGTCACAGAAAGTCTAACTGTTTAATAAACAGAAATGACTAATATATGGGGAGAGAGAAAAACCTTCCTTGTTGTGAATATTTATTTTTCTTTGTAGATGTGGTAGTCCGCTTGCTAGCTAACTGCTGCATACTGAAAACAATCAGCCAAAGAAAAAGGTCCAAGACTATCCATAAAATTATTTGCCATCTTTTCTGAAAGTATACTACTTCAAAAAAAGTGTCTTGAAAGATGGCATAAAACTTATAAGGAAAGACAGTATGTGTATAAAGCAAATTACCATAAGCACATTTATCTGCTATTAAAAAAACATTTTCTCAATTATTGCACTTGCTTTCATATGCAGTGGTATTGTAAACCCGTGAAAGTCATGTAGCTTCCTTATCATACTCTCTACAATGTATAACGCTACTGTGTCTTTGCTGTCAATCATTCAGAGTTCTCCCTTATTACAGTCTCTACTTACTGCACTTTCTGACCGGTAAATACTGCACTATTATAATTAGCCATATTCTTTATTTTTGCCTTTTAAAAGTAAACTATGAAATCTATCAGTCATATAATTAAACAAGCAAAATATGTTTCCTAATCCTTGTTTATTGATAAATCCTTAAATTGAGTGAAGTTAAGGAACAGCCTCTTAACATTATGAAATGTTCAAAGATAAAACTATATAACTCTATAATTAGTAATCTTTACCTGTTTTAATTTAATGCATTTGTTACAAAAAATCTTTGTTTTTACCTGAGCAACAGATTTCTCAAATATTGCATCAAAACTCTAATAGAAAACATCACTTGGAGTTGATATGTACGGCATCCCTAAAACATACTGGTTGATTCTACAAAAACTGTGTCTATCGAGAGCATCAATTGCATATTCAGGTCTAAATCAGATTAGAAAGTAATTCAGACAATTGCAGTCTCAAAAAAAAATACTTCTATTGTACATCTCTGTAACTACTGTATCTCTGTAACTACGCTTTGAAATTGTGTTTCCAATTCAGACATACTACTTACATATGCCATACAGGCAGTTAAAATACTGTACTTTCACAGACTGCACTGGGGTTTGGAAATTCTTAAGCTGCGATTCTCCATGCTAAACTTTTCCTTTCATAATAAAATGGAAGAGTTAGCTGTCATCTTTCAGCTCGCCACCCAGACATAATTACATTGCAGAACACTTTTCTTCTTACCCTCGGTGTGCATGGAGAGTAGCACGATCAAGGAAATGTGAAGCTGCCAGTTTGATTCTTCCAGCCAACCCATTGCTGCAGGAGAGTAGTGATTCTGATTTGCCTGTGTTCTTCTGTTTCTTTTTCTTTTCTTATTTCACTGTCCCAGTGCTTCGTCTTTGTCAGATCCTCGGACAAGTCTGCCAGCAAGCCTGAGAGGAGAATGTGAAAGACAAGCCTGTTACAAACTGGTTCTGTCACCACATAGACCTCAATTGATCACCTCGTGGGGAGGACAACAAAAGGGCAGCAAGGATCCCAAGCTGGAGTGGATTCCTGAGACAGGAGCATGGATTGACTGCCCACACAGGGATTTGTGTAAACTTGGAAGCTACAGCCCGAGTCTTTAACTCCCTCTCTACTTTACACACTTTACACACACAAAAAACAAAGCCCTGAAAATTAATATGAAGTTTGTATTCCATTTTTCAATGAGATGTAAGCAAACCCCTCTTGTCAGCTACTTATAAACTGTTTGTTTTATAAACTCAGCACTGCCTTTGGCTTTTGTTTTTAAAGCCACACCAGCGTTTTCCTGTGCACTTCCAATATTAAGAGAGAAATAAGGATTGCTCTGAGGCAATAACAGAAGACAGCTAAGAAAGATAAGAAATATAAGATACAGAATGTCTGTGTCAGCATACTGTGTCATTCAAAATGAGTTTTATTCCCCCCCCCAACCCCGTATGAACAGTGATTTATCGGAAAATTGCAATAAACAGATTTTTTTAAAGGTCTGTGGATTCCTCATGTAACTGGACTCCTTTAAATTTATATAAATCACATGAAACTACTGTAAGCATATTAATGAATCAGAAATGCATACAGATTTCATTAAATCTCTCAACTGTGTTCCCTTGGTCACAATTGCAATGCACACTTTTGTATTCTGCTAGAGCTACACAGGCTACTCTATGTGTCAAAGTTCTAAATTACTGCTTTCTCCATTTTTATACAGATACATATTTATTTCAGTTTGTTTGTTTTTTATTTATACACAACTGAAGTCCTGGGGACAGATCCTTCACTAATATAAATTGATATAGCTCCAACAGACAGATTACACCCGCTAATGATCCGCTGCCTGGTTTTGGTAAATGGAAACAGGAAGCAGATGCACATACAATATGACGGTATCAAATATTAAAAGTTTGCGATCTTCACTTCTGAATAAAATTCAATAAAAACACTAAGTACTGAAAAGAGAATGTAACAGGACCTCACTAATCCACACACAACAAAATTAATTGATGGTCTCTCACCATCTCTGAGCTAAGATTTAATAGCCGAGCACTCTAGTGTGGGCTCATATTGGTCATATATATTTACACATATACTACAGTATTTTACAGTTACTAGTATATAATAATGTATTATCATTAATAATTAAAATAAATTATAATTGTCTAAATAAATGAGCAAAGTACATTTTGTGATGCATTAGTCTTGCTTTTTTATAGTCTTTGTTCACTTAAGACCTGATACTGCCCCACTTGAAATCAATGGGAGTTTTCTGATTGATCTCGAAGGGCTAGATCCTGTCACCCATACTTGAATAGTACCTTACTCCACAAGTCATCCCACTGAAGCTCTTCAAGCAAGGGATGATCTTTTGGTTATATCTTTGTACATCACCTGGCAAAATAGAACTTAGATCCATGAGTGGGGCCCCTAGGTACTACCACTATACAAATAAATAATCAACAAAAACAATGCAGTAAATGTTACTCAGTGTGAGTAAGACTAATCTGGCCCACTGCTGGTAGAAAAGACCCTTGCTGGCCAATTAAAAAAATCAAGTTATAATATTGTCTGCCTCCCAGACTTCAGCATGAATTAGTGACATTCTACTGCGTTGTATGTACTTTCCCTTTCCTATTTTTTTTTATTTTATTTTTTTAGTGACTAACTACATTATCCCAAATACACTAACAGGACATTCCAGCCAACCCCATCATTTTCCTTCATATAGAATTGGAAAGTACAGAGATAAAGAAACATGTATGTTTCCAGCCTCATCACTGTCTGTTCTGAGATTCGCTGAACATTTTACACCATTTTTCATGGGAAAAACATGATCCTACCTAATTTATTTTTAATATGTGCGTTTTACTTCAAAAGGCATCTTTAAAGTTTCTCTCCAGAGCTCACATTTCAAGCACAAGTGAAGCTTGGACTAATGGTTCATCAACTGCTGACATTTTAAACTTGTTTCTTTTACAACAAACAAACAAACTCACTCACTCATGAATATACCATGAATTCACCAAAAGTCTACAGAACAGCCCAGTCAAAACAGTGAGTGCCCGGATGAAAGGAGAAATCCAAGTTCAAGATTTCAATTGGTACACTATCCCTAAAGGGAGTGACTTGAGCTGTTCTTTATCAACCTCTTGGGCTAGAAGTGTTATGAGCTGCAGAGGGGTGTTGGACAAGGGTATTTTCGGGGGGAGGGGAGGTTGGTCAACAGCACAGTCACCATGAAATAAGCTTTTGTGAGCAAAGATGATGTCAAGAGGGGAGCGGGGAAATGGAGGATGGGAGCTACGGTACTATACTGTCATTAGCAATAAATGCTCCAGTTGCAATCATGTCAGTCTTAGAAGTACAGCTGTGAATTTGAAAGACAGCTATCAAACGGGAAGAAGCTAATTTGAATACTTGAGAATCCAAGGGGGACACATTTTTCCCCCAACCCCACTCACATCAAAAGGAGTTCCACATGCAGACTAAAGGGAGCATGTGTCCCTAAGATCAACGTTTAAGTCATGTTGGCATCCAGGTATAGATATCAACTCCCAGGGCTGCACTGGGAGAGGATTCTTGGACTCCAAAACTCAGGTTGAAGCTATCTTAGATGATGCAGCCAGGCTGAGCCACAGATGGAGTTGCAGTGGCCAGCTGAGCACTACCGGCAACCTGTTGGGATGGGCTCGAGGTAGCTGGACTGTCTGACTGAGCAACAAGATCAAAGATGCAGAAATAAGGAAAATAAAATGTTCAGAGAGGTGGAGGGCTAGGATGAAAAGCCTTCCTAGAAGACTCCCCAAAATTCTGGTGTCTCCAAGCACCATTAAGCACTAATCCACTCTTGCAAATCCCCTTTCAGTATAATTAAAAATCATGGAGGTTGTTAGTTTATCATCAGGGAAAAACGGATTCCTTTTGTGACTAAAACACAGGGTGGGGAGCCAGTAGATCTCTCTGTCTAAATTAGGTACTGCTAGAATATCCATCATGTGAGTTACATTCCAGAATCTGCTACGACTTACCCTGTGGCCATAAGGATCTAGGTAAGTGGCTCCAATCTGTGAAATATGAATATCATCATACAGTACAAAGGGAAGTTATGATGGTTGAGATGGGGGGAGGTCTCTGTTGGAGACCCAAATTTTCTTTGAATTTTTGCTCTTTCAGAATATTGGCTATTAGCAGTAGCTCAGGAAGCTGTTTATTTAATTGTATATTTTTTAATGAGTGTCAAGGATGCTCTTTTTGGTAGTAGAGTGCAAATCAAAATGAATACAGTAATAAATTATAATAATTACAGAATTTATTGACAGACTCTAGAGTTTATGGATCTTCCATTCAGTACCAGAGATTTAACTGGCATTACACACTTACCCATTGTACAACATACAAGCAAGCAAAAGCACTGCAAACTGCTGTGTGGTTGGGGTCATTATATATCCAAGAATGGAAAAAAAACTTTTCAAGATATCACAAATGTGGAAAAAATCTCAATTATTTCCACAGCTTGGAGAATGACATCATTGTTTCCATAGTTGTTAATGTCATCAATGGTCTAACTCTAGATTTTATTTCTTTACTGCCAATTATCCTATTATTTATACATTTTCTTATTTTTAAAAAGCCCTCTACCCATAAAGTAAAATTCCTTTCTAAGTGAAAGCACCAACCAAATGTGTCACAGTTGCAACATTTCATTGAAAGAGACAGGAAAACAACCAAGCAACTAAACGAGAGTAACCAAGCAACATCCACATAACTAGGCAGACGCCATTCCCTACGTTAAACTTGGGTTCTTGTTGTTTTGTTTCTTTTAGACAAAGACTTGCAGTGAATTTTTGAAAATAATTTTATTTCATTATTTATATTGAGGTAACCCCTAGAAACTCCAGTCATGGATCAGGATCCCATTGTGCTAGGCTAAGTCCAAACACAGAAGAAGGTCCAAGCTCCAAAATAGCTTACAATCTAAGTAATGGGCCCCCCTAAATGCTATGTTAAAGTTCTACCAGAACAGTGTAAACAGACTTGAAATATACTTAAAGATGTTAATTATTTACAGTGTATTAGCAGTGAACAGTGGAGCTCAGAGGCCCTGGTGATAGGCGCAATGTAGGTATCTAGCCTGCTAGCTACATAGGTGTTAGCAGTGGACAGAATTTTCCTCATAATTTGGGGGGGGAGGGGGGAGAGCAGAATTTGTTTTTCCAGATGTTGTGTTTAACTCCTGAGCAATCTTAACATTTTTATTTTATTTTTTAAAATTCAAACAACAAAAGTTGTGACGCGTTCAACAATTTCTGGAGGGATTTGGAGAGTTTTAAAAACAACACAATAGAAGTGAGTTTGACATGTTTCCCCCAATTTCTTTTCTTCCCACTCCATTCCCAACTTGCAGCATTCCACATCATTAGACATCAGCAACTCAAAGAAGAGAAGCTCATTTCAGCCACTCAGTGAAAAGACTATCACTTTGTTACAAATAAACAATCCCCATCCCCCCACTTATTTGAACGAGCGGTATGGTATTCTGAGCACGTATTCCTTTGGCTTTCAGAGCTCTGCCAAGGTTCCCCCTTCTCACCCCCACCCCCGCCCGCAGTACAGAAAGAGGTAAAAGGGGAGAAGGGAGAAAATCCCAGAACTTGTCCAAAGCACGCAGAGGATGATTTGTGTTCTCACTTACAGAGTATGACTGTCACTGATGATCTGCTTTCAGGCCTAGATTACATGTGATAAGGGCTGACCTTATTTGAGTATTCACACATTATGCACTCATGGAGAGCAAGCTGGACACAAAAGTCCCTCACATGTTCTGGGCATCAATCAAGCTCACAGCATGGAATCTGCCAAACTTTTCTTCCATTTAACTCAGGAGAGGAAAGGCTAGTCCAAGACAGAC